CTTCTCTCTGTGAAAGAAAGCTGAGTACAGCTAGTTTGAACTGGTTCTGTTATCTCTTTCTGTCAAGATCATGCTGACTATAAATTAGCAGGGCCAGAAGGAGCCTGGGTTTCACACATTCTCTCTCTATCTCTTTTCCTTCTGGTGTGGTGTTCTGTACATAGATAGTGTTAAGGTTTAGACTTCTTATAAGCTGTTGTAAGTTTAGGTTAAGTCTGCGGCAACTGGATTCTTATGGACAGTGCCAATCCTGAACGTATTGGATTTGTGGCCATTATGTTCATTTGCCTTCAGTAGCAGTAAAGCTCTGCTTGATGAAATACAATTGCCTCTGGTCTATTTTGGGGGAATCCTGCAATGTGTTTTAAGTTTTTGCTCTGCTAACTATGCATTGGAATCTACTCTGGATCATTTTGAGTAGAATTTCAATGACACCCAAGACCTCTATACACACTGCCCAGGCTTGAGCCCCAGGGAGGTCACGTCAGTGCTACTAATGCACTCCATTGTCTTTTGAGTCGGATGTCAACAAGAAGAAGATTGTACAAATTGTTGATGTAATTGCTAATTCTGCATAACTTTACAGCTGTTATTGATGGGGCGGTGATATGAGTTGTCTCTCTACACAGTCAGATTTAAGGTAAGTCACAGCAACATCCAAATATCTGACACCAGAAATGCTCCTCACTTTCCCTCACCCCCTACCACTTGCTCCCATGGAAAATTCAGAAGCTGCTGCCAAACTTTCAGCTCTACAGGGTTTTTCAGATAACATTTGGATGAAGAATTAATGTGCATGGAGCAGCAGTTGGGGGGAGTGGGATCATGGTAAGAGCCTCTCTCCCTGCAATCGGGAACCCAATTAAAGCAGGGTTTCCAATCAAGCAAAGAGAATCTGGCATGCACAGATTCTTTGACCTTCCAAATGAATGTGCGTAGGTCAGTGCAGGCAGAACCTGCAATTCTGCTCCCTCATCACTCTGGCAGATTCTTTATAACCCTGAGAGTCATGCAGAAAGGGCTAATGACTGCAGCTCTAAGGACTGAAAGCTGGGGCTGTCACAGAACACATCATCATAGTCTAGCTATATATAGAGCTGCATTTCTGGAAATGTACAGCTTGAAATAAATAAATGACAGTATGAATTGCAATTAAATTGTAACAGCCTTCTCTGAATTGCATGGACAGCTGCAGAGACCCTTATGGTGGGAATGACTTGTCAGCAAGGTTTGAAGATTAATGAATGGTGTGTGTGTGTGTGTGTGTGTGTGTGTGTGTGTGTACATAGGCAGAAAAGCAGCTCTCCCACCCCCAAATACATTTTTTTAGGATTTAATTGAAAATGCCAGGCTGTGAAATCCAAGTGCAACCTTTAAACGCACACACAGAAAGAGAGACTTTCCTAGAGACCCTGAAAAACCTAAGTATGCCTAGTCTTTGCCTCTAAATTATTTTCAACATGTGTGCTGATCCTACAATTCACCCAGATCAACTAATTTTTTATCTACATTTCTTTGTTTCCTCGCAGTCCTATGTGCTCCATTTCTGTAATTATCAATATTTCACACACCAAGAGGTGCATTTATCAAGATACAATTCTCATGTTGCTTTCTAATATTGGAAAAATCACTGAGAAATTAGTTTGGTGCATAATTCTGTTGTGGTGAATTTTTCAGTTGAGCACGCCCTCATGTGGCAAGAGCCAGCATTTTCCTACTTGATAATGAACTATTGCTTTCAGAGGGGTGAGAGAGCCCTGGGGCATGTCAGAAGAAGATTCTCTCATTGATTGCAGTGCAATACATTACACAATGCATTAAATACACGAAACAGTATGCTATGGCACGAACCATCCCAGCTCCTACCATACGAGGGCACATCAGATTGGAAGAAATACCACAGAGACCTAGTGCAAAGTTAACTTTCAGTTTAGCTTAAACAAAAAAATAAATAAATCTAACATAACAAATTGGGCCTATATTTTCTGGAACTCGTTGGGATTCAGAAATGCATGTCCATGTGACATTGTGGGTAAAATGCAACACTTCTGCCTTTCACACAGATCTTCTTCAGTATTAAAGTAACACCAGTGACACATTTGGGAGGTTTCTTCAACAATGGCTGTGCCCCAGATGGCAGCTTGTGAGAGACTGCACTGTGACAATGCCCACATTCTACACATGCAGTTGTGAAAACTGCTATATCTTGGTCTTCTGCACCTTTTTCTAGCACGTCAAACTGCAAAAGCCAGCATTGTCAGTATAGGTGCAATCAGTGCTTCTTTTCTTAAAAAATGTTTAGGGGAACTCTCATTTTGACTCAAGTTTAAATCGGGGGGGGGGGATACAGTAAATGGACAAAAGTACAAAGATTCACAAAATGTTTAGGACTATGCGTACCCCTAGGGGGGAAAAGCACTGGGTGCAATAGATGTTCCTTAGTCATTCCATATATATTCCTATATTCTTGGCAAGTTCATCACTGTCAATGTGTTGTAGTATGGCCTTTAATAAAGAATCTAAAGTCAGATTTTGAACTGTCTCCTACGACTACTTTTTCAATGGAAAGAAAAAGATAGTTTCACAGAATAAATTCAACATACACTTTATTCTCAAAGGAAGTGCCGGTCAACCTGATTGTGGTTTCAATACCTACTGAAGACATTACCAAGACCGGTCTTTCCACAGGGACCATCCTAAGCTGTGTCTATTGCCAATTTTATGAAGCAGCAGAACTGTATTGGATATTGTTTTTAGAAGTCGGTACCCTTGTTTTATATGCTGTGATTTGGTATAATATTGTGTGTCGTTAAAAAAAAATTGAATAGGAAATCATGAATAAATTATTCAAATAAATAACAGAATTTGCTATTGGGAGTGAAACTGACAAAGGGATTCATCAAACTTAGCCTGAAGACCAGTTGGCCCTGTGCATTTCCTAATATTTGCACACAAAAACCCACTAGTGTTATGATGGCAACGTGACATTAGCATGGGAGAGGGGACAAATGTAATTTAACAGTGACATCCCAGGTACTATCCAATAGGTTCTAGAAATGTTACGCATCCACATTCTAGACGGCACTCCGAAACACAAGGTAAGCTTGGGTAAAAATGGCATGCTGTGATCTGAGTGTTAGGGAAACACAGTGTTCTTGGGACGGAAAGGCCTTCTTGAATAGATGGAACAAAATGAGAGGTTCTAGTTGCACCACAAAGTGATTATCTGGCAAGATCTCCCTGGAATAAGAAGAGAGAGAGCTCTGCACAGAAACTACCCCCAAGTCATGAAGGAACAAAACAGAAGCAATAACATTGTACAGGAAGTAGCCAAAGAAGTCCTACTACTTTAAGAAACGTCCACAAGAAGCTTCCTGTTCATTGCACAAGCGCAGTATCACAATGAAAAGCCGTTACGTGCTGCCCTGTGCACAAGGCAATATGGCATTTGCTTAAACCATCACAAGTGAATCCATTTCACCACCCCCTGCAAGATCATCTATTGCAAGCAGACAAATATTTAGCCTACATTATTCGCTCACGGCAAACATCTGCTCTGAAAATCATCCTGGAATTTGTTTAGCATGCATTTACGGTAACTGGAGCCATGGGGGCCCAGGCACCCACAAATTTTCAATGAAGGGGCAGGGGGGGCCCAAGTTCGAATTGGTGGTGCACGTATGTCGCACGGTGTGCTTGTGTCACATGCGCATGCTGCGAGGCATCTGCACAACACATAGCACAGGCATGCCACTGTGATGTTGCGCAGTCCCAGGCCCCCTCTGTCATGGGGGCAAGACAGTGTGCCTGCCAGCCTGGGGGTATCTCACTACTTTGAAGCAGTTGTTTCCAGGGGAGGGGATGAAAGAGCACAAAAGTGTTATAGAACAGACATCAAACTTAACATGACGCTTGTCCTGGGCTGGTGATCCTGGTCTGCAGTTTTGTGCTCCCTTTTTCTCCAGACTCCTCTGTGCCTTATAGCTAGTAGAAAATATTAGCAGCATGCAGCTGACTTACTGAATGAGGAGCCTTCTGTGCACTAACGCCCATTTACTTTGGGTGATTGGTATATGCAGTGCTCAGTTTATGAATGCCCTTTTTAAAACCTCTGTAGAGGTGACAAGCAGGTGTTCCTGCTGCTGCTGCTGGATTGTTCTTTTTATCGACCGATTGCTGATTAATAGTTCAGGATGGTTAGTTAATGTTTCCTCAGTGGGAGTTAATGGTTGGGATTTGGTCACCTGGACTCTCCTAAGCATTTTGCATGGTCAAGATAAGTGCCCTGGAGCCAGGAGAAAGTGACAGGTCTCCAGATAATGGCAGAATGGCATCAGGAAAAGCAGTAGGTAGCTGTTTGTTGTTGGGTTTTTTTTTAAGTAAGAGACTACAGAATTGGAAGTTCCACCCAGAGTTAGATGGAAGGAACTGACAATGCAGCCTGGTGTTTTCCAAAGATCTGCTATAAGAATAGGTAAAGGGTAAAGGGACCCCTGACCATTAGGTCCAGTCGTGACCGACTCTGGGGTTGCGGCGCTCATCTCGCTTTATTGGCCGAGGGAGCAGGCGTACAGCTTCCAGGTCATGTGGCCAGCATGACTAAGCCGCTTCTGGCAAACCAGAGCAGCGCACGGAAACGCCGTTTATCTTCCAGCTGGAGCGGTACCTATTTATCTACTTGCACTTTGACGTGCTTTCGAACTGCTAGGTCGGCAGGAGCAGGGACCGAGCAACGGGAGCTCACCCTGTCGCGGGGATTCAAACCGCTGACCTTCTGATCAGCAAGTCCTAGGCTCTGTGGTTTAACTCACAGTGCCACCCGCATCCCAAGAATACTTGTTTGCTTTTTAAGTGATCTCATCTAGTTTACAAATAACACTAAACCATGTTTTGCTTTGGCAAAGCTTAGTTTGCCAGAAGCCAGACCAGCGGACTAACTATGGGGGGGGGTTTCTGCAGTGGTGGAGGAACCCTCTCCAGCATCCAGGACGGCACAGCCCATACGGACTGCGCATGTGCAGCATCCCGCACGTGCGCACTCCGTACAGAATGCCACACATGCGCAGTCCGTAGGGGCTACCACTCGCACATAGCGGCTGTACGGGCTGCCGCTTGCATGGTGTCCATAAGGGCCGCCAAGCGCAAGCGGCATCCCTTATGGACTGCGCATGTGCGGCCACTGTGTGGGATGCTGCACATGCGCAGTCCATACAGGATGCCACTTGCACGGCAGCCGTTCAGGCTGCTACACGAGCAGCATCCCGCAAGGACAGTGTGCGAGAGCAGCAGCCCATATGGACGCCACACGAGTGGCACCCATACGGATTGCGCGTGCCCTCAGCCGCTCTACAGCTGTGGGGAGGCAGGGGCCATCTAGTCACCCCTCCCACAGTGGCACCTGGAGTGGCCTGCCCCCTCTGCCCCCCCTTCCTATGCCCCTGGATTTCTGGCAAAAAACACTAAGTGAAACCATGATCTGTTGTTGGCTTATGAACTGTGGCTTGCTTTAACTATGGTTTGGCATTATGTCTAAACTCATTAGCCTTGCTTTACTATGGTTCTTTTGGAGACTTTCCCCTAGATACCTGCCAAGGCACAAGGAAAGAGGAGATGAAAACCTAAACAAGCTTTGGTGGGGGTTGTTTGTTTGTCTGTAAGACAAGCCATGGCTTGTTGAATCAATTCTGGTTAAATAAACCATGGCTTAGTGATTTGGGCAAACACAGCCCTTGTCTGTATATTTGCAAATAAAACAAATATTGCAAAGGTACTATAGATTCCCTGTCTTTCATCCAAAGAAAATAAAATTCAGTGCCCCTGGGATTTCTCATTCCTCAACTGCAAGAGTGGCAAAGTTAAGTGGTCAGCCATTTGGAAATGTAATAAACCCACTGCTGCAAACATAGAATCTAGTTATCATTCAGCACTACTTCTAAAAGGAGACACTCAGATACACTTGTGCATTGAATGAACACACACAAATTTTTTTGCAACATGTGTTAACTTGCTCACCAGTGCTAGGGTTCCTGTTTTATCAACACAGCTGGGTTTTATCCCACAAATAGTCATTGTTACATGCGTAATTATCATAATCTGTTCTTTTCTGCATTTCCTTTCCTTCTGACTGCGTTGTTCACAATCCCCTGCCCCAAACCATGTATAGATAGCCTGCAAGTCAGGATAACATTGGATGAATCTGATGAAGTGGACTGCAGCCTACAAAAGCTTGTGCCAAATTTGCTACCCTTTAAGGTGCCATAAGGCCTTTAATTGCTTTTATTTTATTTTATTGCTGCAAGAGGCTAATACAGCTATTTCTTTGGTGGGGAAATGGATTAAGCTCTGCAAGGAGAGGCTGTGTACACATTGACAACTTAAAACACAGCTGGGTCATTCTTTTTCTCAAAAGCTAACTTGGGGAGAAATGCAGTATCAAAATGCAGCATTTGCTAAGAAGTGACATACAGTGGTACCTCAGGTTACATACGCTTCAGGTTACAGACTCCACTAACCCAGAAATATTACCTCGGGTTAAGTACTTTGCTTCAGAATGAGAACAGAAATCGTGCTCCGGCGGCACGGCAGCAGCAGGAGGCCCCATTAGCTAAAGTGGTGCTTCAGGTTAAGAACAGTTTCAGGTTAAGTATGGACCTCCAGAACGAATTAAGTACTTAACCTGAGGTACCACTGTATTAGATACAGGATATATAGGGATTATGCCTAACATGTGTACACTGTTTCCCAGTTTATAGATAACTGAACACAACAGGGACAATTTAATCAAGCACTGGCACTTTCTACCTTAATTTCAATATATGTGCTGTGATCCAGAATTATTCTTATTAGTTATTACATTTATACCCCACCTTTCTTCCAAGGAGCTCAAGGTCGGGCACATAGTTCTCCCCGTCCCCATTTCATCTTCACAACATCCCTGTGAGGAAGGTTAGGCGGAGAGTGAGTGATTGGCCCAATGAGCTTCACGGCTAAGTGCGAGTTTTAACCCTGCTGTCCCAGATCCTAGTCAAACATTCTAACCACTCCACACTTGCCTAGGAATAAGTCACACTGAAAATAATGGGACTTAATTCTGATCATATATGATTGCGCTGTAAATCTCACCTCTTTTTTTGTAAAACCTTGTTGATTTAAACTGCTTAATTTTGTCTCCTTCAATCAGTCGCATGCATTGTCTAACCAGAGGAAAAGAGGAAGTAGTACTGATCTTTGAAAAATAAAAGCAACATTATTGTGAATGCATCGTAACTCCTAGCCTACTATATAACACAGGAGGTAAATACCAGAACAGCATTTCATTGAAAATTTAGAGGAGCAAGTTGCACATACCCAGGAGTCAGGAATTCAAGAGATCCCCCTCTGGCGCTGCCACTTTCTCTACCTTCTCAGAGGAGACAGGAAACTCTTCTTACTCAAATTGGTTGCAATGAAAGATTACCCAAGAGGAAACTGGTGGAAAAGTCATGAGCAGGCAAACCAAAGAGAATAAGCTGGGTGGCATAACAATTTCCAGTCGAGACCAAACTGTTTTTGGAGTTGAAGAGAGGAGGCATAATAATTTTGCTCAGTCAAGATTAAGCAGAAGCAGTCAGGTTCCCTAATTCTTAACCTACGTAGCCAAGAAACATATTGAGCATGTGAATTGTGTTGTCATGTTCACTGTACAGGCTAACATAACTGTGGACACACAAGAAACACAGTTGTATTTAATGATGCAACCCAGAGCTATCTCTTTTAACTCCTCCTTTATCCCCTATGTCAGTGTACTTCAACCTGACCATTGGCGGAGGATGATGGGAGTTGTAGTCCATCAACATCTGGGGGGTTCAAGGTTGAAGAACACTAATATTCTGCACCACTAAAATTAGGGCTGCTTTTTCAAGTTCACATGAATTTGGATTGGGACCTCTGCCCCACTCGCCATCAATTGGCAAGAACTTCTGTCTTGTCCAACATCTTACATTACATCTCTTGCACTCTTCTCCTTCTCCACACCGTCCAGCTATTGCATGTACTTATAAGCTTCCTGTCACCTGTCAATATCATCCACACATGACATCCAGCTTTCATGATAGGTGTCACAACCGGAAAGCAAACTACGGTAAGCTGGTGTGTGGTTCGCACAGCACTTTGCAGGGCACCCTGCCACCCTGTAAGCAAACATTTTTTTAAAAAAGTTAAAGAAGCAGGAAATTGAGGGAATGGCACAAAAGACACAGAGACCCTGAGCCACACTCCTCATTTAAACAGAGCCAGTCTCTCTCTCACAAAAGTCAGTGGAGAGCTGACTGGTTGCTTTTCTTAAGTCACTGACTCCACTGCAATACATATAGAAGAGAAACCACTAAAGCAGCCAAGGTCAGCCTCCTCAATTTCCCACTGCTTTTCAATGATAATTATTTCCATAGAGACAAGTTTTATGTTTCTTCTTTTTTAAAAAACAACAACAACAACCAGCAACACTTAACTCCTCTGCTTTATTCCACTCTTTCAGCACCCGCTAAAAACATTCTCGTTCAGACAAGCCTACCCAGATGCTTAGAAAGTTGAGGTAATTTTAATCAGTTTTAGTATTTTGAGTTCTTTATGTTTGTGATTCCCCCCCCCCTTGGTTTTCTTGTTTTTCTAATGTTATCTTTTTGCAAGTCGCTTTGCGGGGGGTTTTATACGATCAGACGGTGTATAAATTTTACAAAAATAAATAAATAAAAGTGTTTGAGTGCAGCAATCTAAGTGGTTACCATGAGGAAAGATTGCATCATTTGGTACTTTTTGATTTATAAAAAAAGGGGGGAGTAAGAGGCGACATGAAAGAAGTTCATAAAATTATGCATGAAATGAAGAGAGAGAAGTTTTGTCCTTCTCTCATAACACTGGTGCCAAAATGTCTTGGGCCAGCCCTGATGGCAACACACATAGGTACCCCTCAGTCAGTCAGGTTTGTGATCCCAATTATCCTGAAAGTGCAATAAGAAAAGGATGTTGATGTTGAGATTTCATTCCTCCATTGCTGGATGTGTGATTGTTTTCATCACATGTCTGTGTTGACATTCCATACTATTGGAGTCATGAGAACGGAAGTCCAGTTACACTGTTCCGTTATGTTATACTATTGCTTTTAGTCTGTTCTCTCTCAGAGAAGAAGAAAGAGGAGCCATGTTTCCTTTGTTCTGTAACACTTGTAGCTTAGATTCCACACCTCAAATGCCTAGCTTCTGCTTGGACTCTGCTACAGTACAGTGGTACCTCGGGTTACATACGCATCAGGTTACATACGCTTCAGGTTACAGACTCCGCTAACCCAGAAATAGTACCTCGGGTTAAGAACTTTGCTTCAGGATGAGAACAGAACTCTTGCTCTGGCAGCGCAGCGGAACAGGAGGCCCCATTAGCTAAAGTGGTGCTTCAGGTTAAGAACAGTTTCAGGTTAAGAACGGACCTCTGGAACGAATTAAGTACTTAACCCGAGGTACCACTGTATTGTGTGCATATATCTTCGGATGTGTGTTGCAGAAGCGCATCGGGAAAGAAGAGTGTGGAATCATCCCGAGGGTCGCTTGTGGGGGAGAACGCATCTGCCTGGTGTTCTCTAGTTGGTGCAAGATGCCCAGCGCGGTTTAGCGTACCAGCAGTTGGGAGGGGGCACCAGAGTATAAACAGGGCATTTGTTCAGCTGTTTCCTAAGGTCAAATGGCACAACTCTATCTTATCCATGACAAGGGAGAAAGAGCTTCACTTCTACGCACCAATACTTCGTCACTGGCAATTGCTTATAGCCCTAAGCAGCTACAATATAAGTCTACCCAATTCAACTCTAGTGTGATACCCACACAAAGTGAACTTGGCGGATGACTCACCAGGGCCCATTGCTCTCAGTAGATCCTCTGTGTGTAATGATTCAGACAGAGCTAGCAGCTCACCCACTCCCCCTGGCCTGGGTCCCCTGTCAAACCCCTCAACACCAGTCACCCCCACCTACAGCTGTGCTGCAAATAGAAGCCATCCACCCACCAGCCTAAAAAGTTGTTTCCTCTATGCAAGGCAGGATTAGCACTCCTCCTCAACCCTCAGGCAGTTTATCTTCAGATTCATTTTTCCCCAGCATGAGATAAAGTCTGAAACAGATGTGACATAGGCTTCTGAATTTTTTTACTTAATTTAAAGCATCCACAGATATGGGAGGGTTTTGTTCTAAATTCATTGGAGGAAGAGCACTGGTGTGTTGTTTAACCCAATCTCCTGTGCCATTTTCCTGATCTAAATTACATCCCAAGCTGCTATTAGCCCTCTTTGGGGGGAAACAGGAGTACCTGTATCATAGAGGCGGGCAGCCGTCAATGTTATGGGAAATGTTCTAGTGAGTTTGGCAGGGAAACAGGTGGCACTGTGGTCTAAACCACTGAGCCTCTTGGGCTTGCCAATTGGAAGGTCGGCGGTTCAATTCCCACAATGGGGTGAGCTCCCTTTACTCTGTCCCAGCTCCTGCCAACCTAGCAACTTGAAAGCACGCCAGTGCAAGTAGATAAATAGGTACCACTGCAGCGGTAAGGTAAATTGTGTTTCCGTGTGCTCTGGTTTCCGTCACAGTGTTCTGTTACACCAGAAGTGGTTTAGTCATGCTGGCCACATGACCCGGAAAGCTGTCTGTGGACAGACAGCTTGAAAGCGAGATGAGCGCCGCAAACCCACAGTTGCCTTTGACTGGATGTAACCATCCAGGGGTCCTTTACCTTTTTTACCTTACTAGAACCACCGAAGGGATGCGGGTGGCGCTGTGGTCTAAACCACTGAGCCTCTTGGGCTTACCGATCAGAAGGTCAGTGGTTCGAATCCCTGTGATGGAGTGAGCTCCCATTGCTCCGTCCCAGCTCCTGCCAACCTAGCACTTTGAAAGCACGCGAAAAAGTGCAAGTTGATAAATAGGTACCGCTCCGGCGGGAAGGTAAATGGCGTTTCTGTGCGCTGCTCTGGTTTCGGTGTTCCATTGCACCAGAAGCAGCTTAGTCATGCTGGCCACATGACCTGGAAAAACTGTCTGTGGACAAACGCCAGCTCCCTCAGCCTGTAAAGCAAGATGAGTGCTGCAGCCCCAGAGTTGTCTGCTACTGGACTTAACTGTCAGGGGTCCTTTAGAACCACCGAACAAAGTCAAGTGGAAAAACTCAAGACCAGGGGTAGGCAACCTAAGGCCGAATCGCCTTCTCAATCTGGCCCACGGGTGGTCTGGGAATCAGTGTGTTTTTACATGAGTAGAATGTGTGCTTTTATTTAAAATGCATCTCTGGGTTATTTGTGGGGCATAGGAATTCGTTCATTATTTTTTTCCAAAATATAGTCCGGCCCACCACAAGGTCTGAGAGACGGTGGCCCGGCCCACAGCTGAAAAAGGTTGCTGCCCCCTTCTCAAGACAGACATTTAGAATTAAGGGCCAGGAATCCTATCAACCCATGAATTCGTTTTCAGTATAAGTAAAGAGTTTTCTGCCATTTCAAAAAAGTTTCCTACTTTTCTCCCAAGACTCCTCCTTTAGAGTAGCCAATTTAAAAAGAACTTACAGATCAACCAAACAGATTTTTATCTACCTTCTTCCCACCTGCCACTGCATAATGCAGGCATAAACTTTTTCCCTCAGATCAGCTATTTTATTGTCAGCTTTTCTTATCCAACTAATTCTAGCTGTGATGTGTTCGTTTTCCAAAAAAACTTTGCCAGCAAGCAACATGGCAACATGCTTCAAAGAATCTTCTTCATAACTCTTAACCACACCTTAATCAGTGTTAGCACATCTTCTCTGAAATTCTAAAGCAATGGGTCCCAAACTCCCCCCACCTCCCACCCCTTGAAAATTGCTGAGGCTCTTGGCAGACCACTTACATTATTTTTCTACCTGTTGTAACAATTGTTCTAGGCTGTGCAAGGAGTTATATGGTTTTTAATCATATTTTTAGACACACAACAAACCACCTAAATTAAGCGCATGGGCCACAGTTTGGGAACCCATGCTCAAAAGCAAAGAATGCAAGGTTTGCCTAATTAGAAATATTCATTCCAATTCAAGGACTTGCAATATTGCAGCTATCTCTGTAGCTATATATAAAATTATACAAGTCAGAAATAAAAGGCCAACTCTGTCCTTTATTTTGTAATTTTTAGTCTGGAAGATCTTGCACAACACTAATGCTCACTGGATGATTAAGCAAGCAATTTTTTAAAAGTCATTAATTAGATTTTATTATAGACAGACAGACAGATTAGTTTTCAATAACTGCACTGGTGCATCTGTTCAGGAGCTACTCTTAGTGCTATTTTCTCTTGCTAGTTTCCACATGGTGGCAGTATCTATTTCTTTACTTTTGCTATTTCATTAAATTTCATGGTTGGTTAGGATAATTAACAATAGATGTACCACTGGAGTTGAAAAAGCAGCCACATATCCACAGTGTAATGCCAAACATTTGAATCACTCGTTTCCTGAAATGTTTGTTTAACATCATAGCATTAGTATATGTAGTTGAAATTTTTTTACACAGAGAAAACAGTGAACACAGTCCTACTGATTTGAAGGGGAAATATTTAGACCTCAATTCTGTATGTACCATTGAGCTCAATGGGGCTTACTGCTGAGTAAGTCTATCTGCTCAGAATTAAACCTCATTAGGTTCGAGGGAACTTATTCCCAGGCAAGGGTGTAAAGGATTGCAATTTGGGGCATTTGTGTTTCTACCCCTATATCTCAAGGGAAGGGTTTGCAGAAGGCCTACAATTTTGTTGTCAAAGACATCTCTATGATAAGAGTTTTATAGTGATTATTAATGGTTGGAAGGAAAATGTAGGTAGTTTATAGACCTTAAAAGCCCCCCAGCAAGCCACAAATTCATCATTCCTTTTGACTGAATGTGGAGGTGGACTTAAATTAAAGTATTTTCCATTTTCATAAAGAAATACAACTCATAGTACTTGTATTATAAAGACCCAACATCAAAGCTCTGATTACACACAATACATGTATGCTATAGTACAAACTTTATTCATTTTCAATCCATGAGGTGTTTAACCATTAACTACCATCTAGGCTGCAAAGTCCTTAACCGCAAAGGCACATGTCTTTTTTTATATATACCTAATAATATTATGGCTGGAGGAGAGCATGGTTTGCAATTAGGGTGTGGTTTGTTTTTGTTTTTAATTATATGGGAGCCCCAGGATCCGTTCACCTGTGCCTGCAAAGAGTGAGGTTGTGGGAGCCTGTTATTCTCAGGCAAAGCTAAAGGCATGAAGTTATTTTTATTTTTCTTTTAAGCATTATCACACCACCACCAGCAGTAACACACCACCTTCCCCTCTTTGCTGAGCTCCTTGCTTTGGAGGAGCAGCCTGATACACAGAAAGCAAGCAAGTAAAGTCATATGTTCAGGGTAACTCCTGCTCTGTAATCCCAGGTGTATGCATACCACTGCAAGTGTCCTGGAAAAACTGGGGCATCCCATTTTTTATCATAAGAGAACAGTGACCATTAGGGCTGCCGTGATCTTGTGCAATTTCGTGGCATGATTTCCCCCCAAAAAAGTGTTTTTTGGGGGCCCGTGATCTCGTGTGGTGCCTCAAAACTCTCATTTTCGGATGCCATTCCCCCAAAAAGCGCTTTGAGGGGTTTGAGGTGCAAAAATGCATGAGATCACAGCAACCATTTTCCTGCAATGACAAAAAAGATGGAATCCTGAATTTTGGCTTTAAAGTTTTGGGAGGGTACATGTATAGAGATACATACATATGGCAATACATGTGTGAAGGAAACGTGTTTTGAAGGTGCTCAAAGAATCTCTGAAGGCTCTTGTCCTTACTTTGTTCCTGGAAAGTCACTTCTGACCCATAACAGCTCAGTTGGTAGAACGTGAGATGCTTAATCTCAGGGTCGTGGGTTCGAACCCCAGGTGGGACATAAATTCCTGCATTGCAGGAGCTTAATAATGATAATAATAATAATTTATTATTTATACCCCGCCCATCTGGCTGGGTTTCCCCAGCCACTCTGGACAGCTTCCAACAAAATATTAAAAATACAATAAAACATCGGACATGAAAAACTTCCCTAAACAGGGCTGCCTTCAGATGTCTTCTAAAAGTCAGGCAGTTGTCTATTTCCTTGACATCTGATGGGAGGGCGCTCCACAGGGCGGGCGCCACAACCAAGATGGTGCTCTGCCTGGTTCCCTGTAACTTCACTTCTCACAGTTACTAGCTTGGACTAGATGATCCTCATGCTCCCTTCCAACTTTGCAGTTCTATGATTCCGTGATTCTGTGATTCTAGGGGTGACCTGGCAAGCCCAGACTCAAAACAATTTCCTGCTTATACCAAGGTAACTGCTATCTACATCAGGTACGGGGAACATGACCTTCCACATGTCACTTAACTACAGCTCCCATCATCCCTGCCCATTGTCCACGTCTGCTAGAGCTGGTAAAAGTTGTAGTTTAGCAACATCTGAAGGGCCAATGGTTCCCACTCCCAAACTACAAGAATAAACTCAGAGTTGTTTTGCTTTACAGTGAGTCTATTTAGCTGAGGTAATCATGTTATCAGTGTAATGTCCATGAGGCAAACATCAAAGTACTGCAAGATTTTTCAAGATCCCACTAGTTTTAACTGGCTCTTAAATGCTACACAGTTTAATTTAAGTTTCACATTTAATAGCCCTGCCCTACACAGTGCAAAGAAAATAGGTTACTAAATCTCTGGAGAATAATCACACATATACTGCTAATAACACTTAGCAAGTTACATGTTAATAGTAAAACATATGCTGTGTTTAAAAATAATTTTTAAAATCAGCATCTATACCACAAACATGTCATTCCCAAAGTACTGCGGAAGGAATTCTTCCATAAGAATGCTAGGGGTTGCTAACATAAAACCAGAAGTTAGAACCTTTTATTAGCTGTGAGGGCATAACAACTAATAGATATGGCACAATTCTAAGCACGTTTAATCAGAAGTCAGTGCCACTCTGTTCAATAGGATTTGATACGTGTGCATAAAGAAGGCTGATCCATAAAGAAGGCTGATCGCCGAAGAATTGATGCTTTTGAATTATGGTGGTGGAGGAGACTCTTGAGAGTCCCATGGACTGCAAGAAGAACAAACCTATCCATTCTTAAGGAAATCAGCCCTGGGTGCTCACTGGAAGGACAGATCCTGAAGCTGAGGCTCCAATACTTTGGCCACCTCATGAGAAGAGAAGACTCCCTGGAAAAGACCCTGATGTTGGGAAAGATGGAGGGCACAAGGAGAAGGGGACGACAGAGGACGAGATGGTTGGACAGTGTTCTCGAAGCTACCAGCATGAGTCTGACCAAGCTGCGGGAGGCAGTGGAAGACAGGAGTGCCTGGCGTGCTCTGGTCCATGGGGTCATGAAGAGTCGGACACAACTAAACAACTAAACAACAACAACAAACGTGTGCATAGGATTTCAGCCTAAGAGCATTAATTCCTTAAAATCGTCATGGTTCCACACAGGTAACTATTTCAATTCCAGGTTCATTATTGCCATCTCTGATGACAGAACAATAAAGTTATTTTTATGCTTATTTATAGAACCAGCAAGGAAAGCATACCACTGATTCTGTTTCTTTGGCCCTCGTGGCATTTGTTTGCCACTCAGTTCTATGCAATATGCATGCAGATGACATTCAGTTTTAAGTGTTGTTTAAGTGTTGCTCGGTCCCAGCGCCTGCCAACCTAGCAGTTCGAAAGCACCCCCGGGTGCAAGTAGATAAATAGGTACCGCTTACTAGCAGGAAGGTAAACAGCGTTTCCGTGTGCTGTGCTGGCTCGCCAGATGCAGCTTGTCATGCTGGCCACGTGACCCGGAAGTGTCTCCGGACAGCGCTGGCCCCCGGCCTCTTAAGTGAGATGGGCGCACAACCCTAGAGTCGGACACGACTGGCCCGTACGGGCAGGGGTACCTTTACCTTTAAGTCACAGGCTGTTGAACTTCTGGATCAATGTCTGGAGGGGTAATGGATAAGATGTGAGCTGAATTCAGGCAAGGTCAGTCAAACTACTGATCCAGCAATACAATCTAGCTTGGATGTTGGATGGGGTAGCACCTCCCTTTAAAATGCAGATTTTTAGTCCTGGGGTGCTTCTGGACCCAATACTACCCGGGTGATAGTGAAAGACAGATGTGCCTTTGCCCATCTTAGGCTGGTGCCTCCAGTTTGTCATTCCTAGACACTATAGATCAGGTCACTGTAACACATGCCTAACATACATCATGTCTGGACTACTGCAGTGTGATCTATGTGGGACTGCCTTTCAAAAGTATCCAGAAACTTCACTTGGTAAGATTGTTAACTAGAGCTGCTAACTGGGAATATTCAACTCCTGTATTGAAAATTACCTGGCTGCAGCATCTAAACCAGCTGAGGTTTCAGAACTTTGAATTGAGTTGAGAAACAAATCTGGAGGAATGTGATTTGTTTAGGAGCCCAAATCAAAGTTCTGGTGCTAACCTTTCAAGCCTTTTAGTCTGGGGCCAGGATATCTGAAGGGCCTTCTTCTGTACAAACATGCCTGCTTGCCTCTCATTTGTCCCATTGACCCTGATGGTATGCTTTCTTAGGATCAGGGGGCATTTTTGGAAAGCGCGTTCTCCCTCATGGAGAGCACGTGTTGCGGTGGGGGGTGACGAGACACCTCATTGTTGCTAGGCAAAAGGTTTGGCCATCTTTTAAGCAGGAGCGGGCTGTTACTGGGGAAAGTTATATTTAGTGATTGACAGCCCTATTTGTTAAATACATTGCACACAGCAACAAACTTCCTCTTTTCTCTGCGTGCTTCGGATCACTCGCCCTCCCTTCCCTAATGTTAGGCTGTTTGCTTGACCTTGCTATGCCTGTCATGGGGTCGTCTGCTTTGGAGCAGGGGCCCAGTAGGAATTTTGTCCCATTTGGCTGATTAGTGTGTACCACCTGGTTTTTTGCCTACTGCATAGCAAATCGTCACAACTTGTAAGGTTGCGGTTAGGCATTGGTTTGGGAATTGGTTTTTATTTTATTTTATTTTTTATAAGATATTTATTAAAATTTCAGAAATAAAGAAAGAAGTTACAATAGTAATAATAAGAAAAAGAAGAAAAAAGAAAAGAGAATAAAAAAAAGAAAGAAGAGAGTACAAAATACAAAAAAAGTAAAAACAATTAAAAACAAATCAATCTTTCCATATCTTGTCTTTCATTCACTTGTTTCCCTGACCTCCTCACACCTCCCCTTTTTTGTATTCCAGTTCAGTAAGTTAATTCAGCAAATCCTTTCCCTCTTTGTTTTTATCTTAATCCTTTATCTTAATATGTAATAACTGTATATTCTCATCTGTTAACAGTCCTTTTTTACATACTCCTTATAACATTGCCGCTAAAAACCCCTTAGCTTCATTCCAACATCATTCTAACATTCATTAATTTTACAGTATTTCTGTAAATAGTCTTTAAATTTCTTCCAATCTTCTTCCACCAACTCTTCTCCCTGGTCTCGGATTCTGCCAGTCATTTCCGCCAGTTCCATATAGTCCATCTGGTTTGGGAATTGGTTGGTGGAGGGGTATGGATTTGGCTGTGCCTGCCCCTCCAAAATGCTGCTGCTGCTGCTGCAAGGGTTTTCCGTTAAAGGAACCCAGGGGCTCACCATACTTTTGTCTGAAACCCCCTGGCAAGGGGCTAGGGCCACGCAAGCCCCTGGGAGCATTCTGGGGAGAGGTGAGGCCTGATTCCCAGTCCTATCTCTCTCCCCAGGTGACTTACCCTTTCTGACTTCGCGGGGGGTGCGAATGTCAGAGCTGTCCCCGTGCGGGGTCAGTTAGTGCTACCAATGCCTAAGCAACCACTCACATTGCTGTAATTTTAATAAAGCTGTGGCCAAAATTATGCCAAAAACCTTAAACAAAAATTAAGTGTCATTGTGTTTTTATTTGGGGTGTCTTGGGGACCTCGACGCGCAACTCACAAGGGCACATATTTTGAAGCCTATATTTCCACGCTTTACTTTGCAGCATACTTTGTGATTTTAAATTTCTGCCAGGTTTCTCTCGCCAAAGAGTACTTGCTCCAAATCTGTATCTTGGCATCCAGGGAATTCTCTTTTTATACCTGTATGTTTTCCTTACCACCAGCTGTTATTGCAAGGAATGGGGGAGAAAGTCTATTCAGTTGGCATTTAAAGGTGAATTTATCTAACCGATAGTTTCTGAACCAATGCCCAAACCAAAACACAGCCATTCATTGAAATTCAAACTTATCCAAATTCTGCAGGCAGTTCTCCAGCCTGCAAACATGAGAAATTGAGAGGAGCTGAAATTGGCAGATTCTCCCATTCCTACCTATCATCTCACTCTGCCAGAGGTTTGAATTCCTTTGTATGAGAGAACAGTGGAAACTTATAGTTTCTTTGTAATCTTTGCCTTACTTACAAATATACATGCAGAGAGTGGCTGGGGAAACCCAGTCAGATGGACGGGCTATAAATAATAAAATTATTATTATTATTCTGTTGCAGGCAGAGGTTCCATACAGAGAAAGTTGAGCAGTCTGCCAAAAGCTGCCCTCCAACCCGTTTCCATTTAACGCCAACTAGAAGCTCTCAGTTTTCTCTCCGCTTGGTCTGCAAGGCACCCTGCATTCAGCCACCAAAAGCTGCCTCCTTGCTTGCTTGCGACTCAAAGCAAGGCATAGAAATTATCTGCATGAGAGGAAGTCTGAGAACTAAACATACAGATGGAATGTGAAATGTATTTTAGCAAATCACATCTCTTCCTCACTTAAATCTACAGTTCTGAGCTGTGAAAGTGTCACATTTTGGTCCAAAAATGAGTTGCAAAACTTATCAGATGCCAAAAAACCAGCACGTTGAATCTGAGGCTTCCTTTGAGATGGAGGCTCCAGGCCAAATGGCCCTCCTGATAGGCCCTGGTCATTAAGGAACATTGGTATGCTTTTCTCAAAATACCAGACTCCCAATCACAATCCTTTTCGTTAAAGCTATAGAGACTGATTCATTTGCAGTGAGCCAGAAAGGACAAGCTCATAACAAATACCTTCAATTTTACCTAAAGCAAAGCTTTAGAAATGGAGAAACAACCAACAATTTCCTGGTGTATGGTCTATACACACTGGGCTGTTCCACTTCTAGATGTTTGTAGGGAATGCTATTTTTAGATGCTCCACCACACAGACACCCAACAAGTGAAAAGAACCTAGCACAACAGAGAGGAAGTTTTAAACTCAAACAGCTCCCTGCTGGTTTCAATGTGAGACAGTTTTCTTATGTAAAGAAGCCTTTACAAATATGACACACACATCCAACCTGCAATGAAAAGTAGCATGGGGCATTCTGTTATCTACTGCATGTCCATCTAATTGTTGCAGAGGTATAGGTAAAGGTACCCCTGACCGTTAGGTCCAGTTGCGGACAACTCTGGGGTTGCGGCGCTCATGTCGTTTTGCTGGTTGAGGGAAGTGGCGTTTGTCCACAGACAGCTTCTGGGTCATGTGGCCAGCATGACTAAGCCGCTTCTGGCGAACCAGAGCAGCGCACGGAAACGCCGTTTACCTTCCCGCTGGAGCAGTACCTATTTATCTACTTGCACTTAGACGTGCTTTCGAACTGCTAGGTGGGCAGGAGCTGGGACCGAGCAATGGGAGCTCACCCCGTCGCGGGGATTCAAACCGCCAACCTTCTGATCAGCAAGCCCAAGAGGTTCAGTGGTTTAGACCACAGCGCCACCCGCGTCCTAATTGTTGCAGAACTTGGTGCTAAAAAACACTATGGCATTAATCACCATAGTAAAGATTAATGCTTTGACCCAACTTTGATTCACACAGCACTTTCTCCATACATCCAAACAAACTGAAACATTGTCAAGACAATAGTGCTGTGGACAAATATAAAATGTACAAACTGGGTGATAACAGATATCACCAGAAGCAATTACTATTGTTGTAACTGCCGGTCGATAAGCCACCACAAGTCCCAACTCTAAAATTCTTTGATTCTATGAATAATTGAGTCAAAATAAGCATGTAGATTATTGCTGCTGCAGACATCCATATTAAGACAATAAAGAGATTATGTTTGTCCATATTCTCAAGGATGGCTAGGACTGATCACGTGGAAAATGAGTATTTTTTTGCAAACTAGTCCTAAGCTTATACAGAATTTAGACTAAAGCTGGGAAGATTGTTTATTCCCAGGCTGTTCTTCCATGTTTTAATAAGCTTAAATCCTCTGATCTGAGCCAAGGAAATTGTTTTTACATCATTTTTCTCTCTGATCTGCCCTCCCTACTTGTGTTCTTTTTCTTTCAGACTTTCCAGTTGGTTTTATTTATGTAGAAATACAAGCATGGTAAATTTCAGAGCTATAATTTGTGGCTTCCTGTCTCCAGGATCATTCTGAAGCAGTTCTCATGCGGCCAATTCTTCCAGCTAAATATTTACACATACATACACTGCACATAACTTTTACTTATGGGCAAGCTCTCGACATAGTTTCACATAATTTTTCAGGCTCTACATGTGGTTCTTATCATGACAACATATTGAAAATATGTGCCTACAAAACACATTTTAAATATATTTATACAAGCCATTATGTGCTTATCTTTAAGGCATTTACTATATATAGAAAAAAGGGAAGATTGGATTTCCTGTTCTCATTGCCTGCCCTTAAATATATTAATCATATACAGGCCCTTGTTTTGGAGTCAAGGCTACAAAGTGTCTTTAAAAATCCCTGCTATGCTTGAAATCCCTAGCCCAATATTGCAATAGGAGCATATAGTGCAAGGCTGGACCTGTACAGGATAACACAATAGGGCCTCAAACAGTCCTTCATATACATTAGAACCACCACAGGACATATTTTCCTCTTAGGGTGTTATCTACATTTTGAAAAAATCATTGCAGTAGTCAATGTAAGATATTTCTCCCAAGCAGCTGTGCCTTTAACTTCTGCAGAGCAAATGACAAAACCACTACTACATTCTGTCTTAGCTTTACATCACCCTTGTGACATCAAAAAATGGCAGGTCTGGACTGAAGCTACATTCTCTTGAATAATCTTTCTGAAGTGACTGAAACTATATTCAAGAGGCATTCTAAGCTTTGGGGTGCATACCCCACAGTTTCCCATAAATGCAATTGGTGCTACACAGAATCAATAGGACAAGGTTTTCTACTGACTTTAAAAAACTTATTTACCATTAATTTGGTAGAATTGCCTAATGGTGAATTTTTGAAATGCAGGTCATTGCCACACCCCCCCAAGATAATCTACAGTCATGTGCCCAAGGAGAACCTAAAACTTCAGGCAGCTATGTTGAACTTATATCGTACTGAGACTGGAGAAAGCTGAATGGAGTTTGTAGATTCTTCCCACAACCCTGACACTCTGGCTGTGAAAAAAGAATGCTAAAGAGGTCGAACTGGGTGGATAAGCGTATGTGTTCACTGAAAATGTATCCACTGGCCCCCAAAGGTTTATGATCGCTGCCTTATGTCCATCACAATTGGACTACTGCAATTATTGTGTTCAATACTAGCTACTTCAGAAAAAAATTTAGAAGCTGCAGTCGTTCCAAAATGCAACTTCAAGGACATTAGTAGGTGCATCTCCATGAGACCACAATATGCCTAGCCTGCACCAACTACCCTGGGCACAGTTCAAAATGTTGCTGATTACTTTTAAAGGTCTAAATGGTTGGAGCTGGATACCAGAGGGATCACTTCCTCCCATGCTATCCTGCTTCCTCTTCTCTAGGTTCACTCTTTTGGAGTGATGATGCTGTGAACCTTCTATCTTATGCTCAGCATGTAATACGGTGGCATAGTGTGGGTTGCCAGAGCCTGGGGCCACACGGAGGGAGGGATGGGAGGGAGGGAAAAGGACAGAGCATGCATGCATGTTCAACTGCTTAACAGCATCGGAGTCACCTAGGAGATTGTAGCTGCAGAGATAAGAAAAGAAGAGACATTCCGTTGTCTGGAGATGTCACTTCCTGGTTCACATGGAGAAGCCATTTTCAATGGAGCCCAGCAATGGAAGTGTGCAGCTGTACTGAGGCAGCATAAGGTTTTGAAAGTTTGCACCCCCAACAACTTTCGGCCAGGGGAAACTGCCCCTGGCCCCCCCGCACACTATGCCACTGCATGTATATACAGTGGTACCTCGGGTTACAAACACCTTGTGTTACAAACTCTTCGGGTTACAGACTCCGCTAACCCAGAAGTAGTACCTCGGGTTAAGAACTTTACCTCAGGATGAGAACAGAAATCGTGTGCTGGTACCTCAGGTTAAGAACGGTTTCAGGTTAAGAACGGACCTCCGGAACAAATTAAGTTTGTAACCAGAGGTACCACTGTATAGATAAATAAAACCTTATAATCACAGAAATGCCATCAGTTCCTAGTGATCTTAATTCCAAGAAAACCCAACGAGCCTCTCATCACCTCTCTGATGGTGTAATAGAAGGGGGAGCGTTCTTCAGGGCATAAAGAATGATTTTGTCTGCCAGAGCATTGGGGAATTGGCTGACCTCCCTTGCTCTGGCAAGTGAATGAGGAGATAATGAAACATTTCAAGTTTGTTTGTGACAGATTAGCATAGAGGAAATCAGAGAATGTGGAGAGTTATCAAACAGAGGCTCATTATGGCTTTGGTTTTCTCTTATTTGGTTCCTGCTTCATGCTAATAGATTAAATGTTAACACATTTCTGCAAGTTTGTATGCATTTGTAATTAAAAGAAAGTGAACGCATTTCAGTTGGCTGAAAATCTTTTGTTCAAGTGCAGAGTTATGCTGTCTAAAGTAAGCACAGCTGAGTTCAGTGGAGCTTACTCCCAGGAAACTGCATAGAATTGCAGTTCTTCTTATCCTAATAACCTGCGTGCATGAATGTGTGTGAATTTCTATAAATATATTGTTATGCACACCCAAATAAGACCCACAGGATCAAAGGGGAGTTGCTTCTAAGTAGGTGTGCAAAGGGCTACAGCTGTGGAGAGCAATCCTGTGCACATTTACTCAGAAGGAAATTACACAGGAGTTCAATTGGATTTACTCCCGTGTAAATAGGTGTAGGAAATTGCAGATTTGCTCACACAATCCTGTGAATTACATCTTTAGTTTGCATTCTGAAACTCTCTTTTAAGCCTTCTCTTCTGGATGAATGGGAGAAAACCTAATGCTAAAAGCCATGTGTTAGAAAACAAATAACCCGGAAAAATAAGTCCTATTTTATTCAAGCTACTTGTTTTAAGCATTTTTCCCCGCATGAACTTTACCAAAACACACATACAAATACTGCTTTGTGCTTCCCTGAATGCAGTCCAGTGACTGGCCCAAATAAATATCAACACTATGTCTATTTGAGGAAACAGAGAAAGAGCCTGTTGAATATACAGACAGTAGCTGATTCTGGTCATAGTAGAGATCTGCAGTCCTCATTGCGCCAAAGGCCTATTAATCTCACTCCACTATCTTATCAAGGCAGAGCAGATCTCTGGTTACTGGTCTGCTCCACAACTGTGCACAGACTGCAATTTTGCATACATGGAAGTCAATGGAATTTTAAGAGACCTAACAATAGGCAAGATTGCACCCTTTACAGTGGTACCTCGGGTTAAGAACTTAATTCATTCTGGATGTCCATTCTTAACCTGAAACTGTTCTTAACCTGAGGTACCACTTTAGCTAATGGGGCCTCCTGCTGCCGCTGCCACGCGATTTCTTTTCTCATCCTGAAGCAAAGTTCTTAACCCGAGGTACTATTTCTGGGTTAGAGGAGTCTGTAACCTGAAGCATCTGTAACCTGAAGCATCTGTAACCTGAAGCATCTGTAACCCAAGGTACTACTGTATTTTCAATAAGAAAGCATGGAAATGTTACATTTGTCCAAGGTTCATTAATTTTGCAGCTAGGTAACACTGTAACTGAATAGTTTACGCAGGGGAAAGTACCGTTACTTCAACCACAACAAAGCCCAGATCTTACCTACGCTTTGTGTG